AGGCTGGGGGCCACAGGCACCCTGTGAGCATCTGCACGGGCCACCCCTCATGGTGGGGAGGGGCCCAGCTCACGGGGCCTTGCTTCTGCCCCCAGGGAACCCCTGAGAACCCAGGCATCAACCAGCGGGCCCTGCAGCTGCTCTTCTCCGAGGTGCAGGAGAAGGCCTCCGACTGGGAGTTCACCATCACCGTCAGCGCGGCCGAGATCTACAACGAGGCCCTCAGGTTGGAGGCTGGGGGTGGGGGGGGGGTGGAGGGCCCTCAGGTGGGCGGTTCTCAGGTGTGAGCCCTCAGGTGGGCGTCCCTGGGGTGGCACATGCCTCCGGGAAGCTTTGTGGTCTCGGGACTGTGTCGAGCCAGGTGGGATGGGAATGGGAGTCTCCTTGAAGGAGTGGGGGGCTGTACACCAGGACTCAGCTCGGAGCGTCTGCTGGCCCCAGGCCCTTCCCCCACCAGCGGGCAGGGGAGGAGGGCAGGGAGGAGGGCTCTCTCTCTGCTCCCTAGCCCTAGGCTGCCCACCTGAGGAGTTCCTTTTCCCCTGGAAGCTCCTCCCATACCCGCAGGCTGACCAGGCGTGATAAGTGAGAGTGGGCTGTGGGGGGCCTGTCCTTAGCGGCCAGTGCACTGTGGGGGCAGGAGCACCACCACCACAGGCCTTTTGGGGGACAGTCGGTCTCCGCCCTTCAGTGGGCTGAGTGCAGGGAGGAGGAGGAGGAGGAGGAGGAGGGGGAGGGGCTTAGCCCAGTGTCCAGGAAGGGGTGTGGTTGGATGGGGGACCTTCCAGGTTTGGGGCAGGTGCAGAGCCAGCAGACACAGGAGGAGAGCGTGACTGTCGTCCCCTCCACCCCCACCCCGGCAGGGACCTGTTGGGGCAGGAGCCCCAGGAGAAGCTGGAGATCCGGCTGTGCCCCGACGGCAGCGGGCAGCTGTACGTGCCAGGGCTGACGGAGTTCCGGGTGCAGAGCGTGGACGACATCAACAAGGTGTGGAGCTGGGGGGACGGGGTGGGGAATGTGGGGAGCCCCCGCCCAGAGCTTTCTGAGCCTGTCTCCTGCTCTGTGCCACGCAGAGGGTGACCCCCTCCCTGGGGCGGGTACTGGGGACGGGCGATCCCAAGGCCCCGCTCAGCCCTGTCTGGACCTCTGCCCGCCCGCCCCCAGGTGTTTGAGTTCGGCCACACCAACCGCACCACGGAGTTCACCAACCTGAACGAGCACAGCTCCCGCTCGCACGCACTGCTCATCGTGACCGTGCGGGGCGTGGACTGCAGCACCGGCCTCCGCACCACGGGTGAGGGAGGGCCCGGGGCGGCCTGCCCAGCCCCTGCCCCCCACGCCCGCCTCTGGGGCGCCCTTGACCTGCCCAGCGCCCTCCCACAGGGAAGCTGAACCTGGTGGACTTGGCTGGCTCGGAGCGCGTGGGCAAGTCTGGGGCCGAGGGCAGCCGCCTGCGGGAGGCGCAGCACATCAACAAGTCGCTGTCGGCCCTGGGGGACGTCATCGCGGCGCTGCGCTCCCGCCAGGGCCACGTGCCCTTCCGCAACTCCAAGCTCACCTACCTCCTGCAGGACTCGCTTAGCGGGGACAGCAAGACCCTCATGGTGGTGCAGGTGAGGCCTCGGTTGGTGGGGGGGGGGCTTGGCCAGCACCAAGGCCGGGGCCCCTTCTGGGTACCCAGGCTGTGCAGGGAAGGGACCCTCAGCAGATCCAAAGTCGGTGACATGCACCCCGACAGGCCCCCCCCCCCCCCCCCCCCGTGTGCCTCCCAAGTTCCTTCGCTTGGGCCAGAGTCCCCTGGCCGTGAGCGCCCTCTGGTGAGCATGCTGCCCCTCGTTCTGTGGGGGCAGCAGCCTGGGGTGGGGAGTGAGCCCTCGTGTCCCCTAGGTGTCCCCCGTGGAGAAGAACACCAGCGAGACCCTCTACTCCCTCAAGTTTGCTGAGAGGGTGCGCTCTGTGGAGCTGGGCCCCGGGGCCCGCAGGGCAGAGCTGGGGTCCTGGTCCAGCCAAGAACACCTGGAGGTAGGGGGCTGGCTCAGGCCTGCGGGGGGCACTTCCCGGTCAGGGGCTGGAGGGAGGGCTGGGGAGGGGTGACAGCCTGGGGCGGGGCGGGGGGCGGGGGATGCCAGAGGGGCTGGAGCCAAAACTTGAACCCAAACCCAGTAGCAAAAGTAGTGCTTGGCCTTGGAGGTGCCCGTGGGGTCGCCCGCCGGCTGGGGGTGGGCGGGGCGTGGGGTGGCGCACAGGTGCTCGGCATTGACTAGTTACCTCGTTTAACTCTCGCAATAACAAGCGTGGTGCCGTCACGGCAGCCATTTTGCAGACGCGGGAGCCTGTCAGGAGGCTGGGAGGGGAGGGGAGGGAAGCGTGGTGGACGGGTGCAGGGAGCAGGGCCCCACCCACCTGCTCCCCCTGCCCACAGTGGGAGCCGGCCTGCCAGACGCCACCGGGCTCCACACGAGCCCATTCGGCCCCCGGCTCTGGGCCCTCCAGCCGCCCAGGCTCCATCCGGAGGAGGCTGCAGCCCTCGGGTGAGCATTTAGGGGGCGGGCGGGTGGGCGGTGAGCCACCCCCAGGCCAGTCACAGCCACAGCACTGCCCTTACCCGGACAGGCTTTTTAAAAACTTTTCTTTTTAAAAAAGTTTCTAAAACTTCTCCAGAGCCTGTTTCACAGCCTTCCCTGGCCCTGGGCTTTAGCCGGGGCAGATGGTGCTGTGTCCGTTTCACAGAGGGAAGCCGAAGAGCCCCCTCCAAGGGCTCGAGTGGGCTGGTGACTTGGGCCCAGGACATGAGTGTCCCCGGCTGGGCTGCAATGCCCCCGTCAGAGCAGGTCTGCGCCACCAGCCCCGATGGGCAGGGCTCACCCCACGTCCTAGATGAGGAGCGGGCCTGGCCAGAGGACTGGGATCCAGGCCTCCCGCCCCCAACTTGCCCCACTCACACAAAGGCCCAGCCCAGTGGTTCTCAACCTTCCTAAGGCCGCGCGACCCTTTAGTACAGTTCCTCATGTTGTGGTGACCCCCAACCATAGAATTATTTTTGTTGCTACTTCATAACTCTAATTTTGCTACTGTGATGAATCGTAATGTAATTATATATGTATTTTCTGATGGTCTTAGGCGACCCCTGTGAAAGGGTCGTTTGACCCCCAAAGGGGTCGCGACCCACAGGTTGAGAACGGCTGGCCCAGCCAGTGCTTGGGGTACAAAGGCGGGGGGCGGGGGGGGGGGACGGCGGATCATGGGGGTCCTGGCCCGAGGCAAGCCCGCCAGTGAGTCGCCTGTTGCTTTGATTTCAGCCTGAGGCTGGGGCTGCCGTCTCCAGGTGAGTGGGGGCCAGTGGCCCAGGGCTGCCCGCGCCTGACCTTGCCTTGGGTTGTAGGGCTGTGCCGGGAGCCTGCTGCTCAGGGCTGGGTCCGTCCTGCTGCCTGCTGTCTGTCTGTGTGCTTCTGCCTGGCTCCCTCCTGCTCTAAATGGAGGCTAACGAGCCCCCTCCCCCCTGCAGGGAAGTCCAGGCCGCTGCCTGTGTGATGGACGCGTCCGCCCTGCCGTGCCAGGGTCTGGGTCCCGAGGCCTCGCGGGCCTGCTCCCGCCGCAGCGCTGGGAGCCTGGGAGGCGGAGGCCAGAGAGGCGGCCCCTCTTGTGTCTCCCGAGATGAGAAACATGTTCACAAGGAAACGGTGTCTCTCGGCTGTGCTCTTGGCGCAAACGACGTGGGCTGGAAGGGCAGCCCAGACCCTCAGAGTGGTCCCGGGAGGGCGTCAGTGCCGGGAGGTGGTCCTCGCCTGGGCTGGCCCACCCCTCCCAGCCTGCAGGGCGCCCTCTGTGGTGGGTGGCTGAGCCCCGGGAGGCACAGGAACCGTGGGCCGGGCTGGGTGGTGGGCACCTGGGGGCAGTCCTCCAGGGCCCACACCGGGCATGGGTAGTGTTCGTTGTGTACATAGCGCGGCCTGCCTGCTGGCGGCCGGGTTATTTATGGCTTGCAGGAGGCCAGGGGGCGGGGACTCTGCTGCTCCCCCATCCGCCTGGCACCAGGCTCGCTCCTTGCTCACTGGCCTCCTGACATTTGCTCCTCTGAAAGCCTATTTAAGAACTTTTGGAAGCTTAGCCATTTTTAATATTAAAATAAAAGCCTTTTTACACACGTGTGGTCTGAAGAACAGGTCTTGTGAGCCCCAGGAGCAGGGTGTTGGCCGGTGCTGCCGGTGGGTCGCCCACAGCCCCACACCTGCCGGAGTAAGGGTCGCGTGGCCTGAACATCCACGACGGGTAGGGCCGGTGCCCCCCTCCCCTCGTCATGACTGACCCATCAACAGTGTCGTCACCTCCGTCTTACAGGTGGGACATGCAGGCTCCTCACGGCTCGGCACAACCATGGCTGGGCGCTGGCCTTGTCCGAGTGAGTGAGCTGGCCACAGGTGAGCGCCACCCTCGCCCAGGGCTTACAGGACCCCCTCCCCCGCCCCGCCATGGGGTGTGTTGGCCTAAATTTGGTCCTAGCCTTGAGGGAGCCTGTGCCCAGTGGGGTCCTCCCTCCGATTGGGGCTGAACCCACTGGGTCGGGTCGCTTGTCCTGGCCACCAGCACTGGGGGTGCTGCAGGGAGTGAGGTGTGTTCAGAGACCTCAGGGGAGGATGGGGGACGGCTCGTCCAGTCCTGTCCCTGAAGGCTCCGGGGGCGGGGAGCAGGCTGAGCTCTGGGGCAGCACAGTGGTGGCCGTGTCTGTGAGGTGGGGTCCTGGCATCCTGCAGCTGTCGGCTTGGAGGCATCCACAGGACAGCTGGGAGTGTGGCTGAGACAGGGGATGGTGGGGTCCGCCTCTCACCTGTCTCCCAGCCGTGGGGGAAAACTTCCCCAGAATAAGTCTGAATCGGCCCTTTCCTGTTGGCCTGGCACTCTGCTGCCCCCTGCTGGCTACACAGCCGGGTGCAGGCCTCTGCCTGCAATCCTACACCTGGGAGAGCCCTGTGGCCAGAGATGCCCCTTCGGGCAAGAAAACCAGGGAATAGTTACAAATTTAATAAAATCTGTCTTATAAATTACAGCAGCAGCCCCAAGGCTTGGTTGGCTGCCCCAAGAAGCAAGAATTGGGCAAAGCTGGGCAGCCATAGCTGGACAGGAGTTGTCTGAGAGTTCAGGGCTGTGGAGGTGGCCAGTGGGCCAGCGCTGCCGCCTCCAGGATGGCCACAGGGCAAAAGCTCATGGGCCAGTGGGTGCACAGGTAACAGGAGTGGGGGTGGAGGCCAGGCCCCGAGGGTTGCCTGGTGCCCCCACCATTGGGTTCCTCAGTCCAAACTGGCCATGAGCAGGTGCAGCTCCCGGAAGGCACTGCCGTGGCGGCCACTCAGGCCCGACTTGGTCCTGACGAGGCCGCTGATGCTCTTGAGCTGCTTGTAGCAGAGCCGGCACTTGTGCAGCCTGTGGGCAGAGGGGCAGCACTAACCACTCCTGCCCCGCTCCCAGGCCGTGCCAGGTGACACCCGGGCTCAGGGCAGAGCCAGCTATGGAGGAACCCAAGCTATGACTCACCCCACCCTCCCTCCTGAGTTGAGTGTCCCAGGCAGTGACCTCCTGTATAAGCTGTAGCGGCAGGGCCATCAACAGTGGGCTGTGTGCCCTCACCTGGCCTGGCACCCCTGCCCTAATAGGCACACTGCCTGGCCCCTCACCTCTCTTCCCGGCTGATGTCAACACCCACAGAGGGCGGGGCTGCCAGGATGTCAGTGATGAGGGGCAGAAAGCGCTGTAGGATCAGCTTCAGGGAGGTGCAGCCCGTCTGGACATAGCTGCAGAGGCAGGCGGACGGATGGAGCCACAGACAGACGGACAGCAAGTACACAGACAGGGGCAGAGGATGAGAGGCAGCACGGGCTTGTTTCCACCTTGGCCTCGGGAACTTGCAGGGGGCAGCACAGCCACCTCCCGTGGGCACCCCCTGGGGGTCTGCCCAAGCCTCTGCCCCTCCCTGCTGTGAGGAGGCGGGGCTTCCCTGCGTACCTCTCATACTTGCTCTGCAGGAGCTTCTCGATCTGCGGCAGGACCGTGGTGCACAGGTCCAGCTTCCACAGGGAGCTGGGGAGAGGCCGGGACAGGTGCCCTCAGCACGCAGCCCTGCCCGCTCCACCCATTCACTCCCTGCAGCCACTTACGCTTTCTGGTTGACGATGTTAAGGAGGTCCACCACCACCGACAGGTCATTGATGGCTACGGCCGAGTCCACCGACGTCTGTGCAAACAGAGCGCCCGTCAGGACAGGGAGAGGGCCCCTGCCGGGTGTGTGTGGTGTGGTGATGGGCCTTATTGTGGGGTAGTGATAAAGCCACCTGAGATGACAGAGGACAGGGAGAGGGCCCCTGCCGGGTGTGTGTGGTGTGGTGATAGGCCTTATTGTGGGGTAGTGATAAAGACACCTGAGATGACAGAGGACAGGGAGAGGGCCCCTGCTGGGTGTGTGTGGTGATGGGCCTTATTGTGGGGTAGTGATAAAGACACCTGAGATGACAGAGGACAGGGAGAGGGCCCCTGCTGGGTGTGTGTGGTGATGGGCCTTATTGTGGGGTAGTGATAAAGCCACCTGAGATGATCAGCACAGGCCAGGCCCAGGCATAGGTGTGCAATAAATGGCAGCTTGTGATGAGAATGGAAGAGATCAAGTCAACCACAGTGTGGTGACGGACTGCCTGCCCCCCACTGGCCAGTTCCTGTGGCCCTCTTCTCGGTTCTGCCCTAAGCCCAGGGCAGGGGCAGGCGCTTGCCTTGATGTCGCCTGTGGTCCACACGGCCCTCACGGTGTCCAAGTTCTTGTGGCGGCTGGTGAGCACCACACACATGGTGTCGTGGCCTTTGCGGATTTGCGACATGGCATCCTCGTCGACCAGCTCTGTCTGCTGGGGGATCTTCACAGCCTGTGGGACAGGCCCAGATGCTGGCAGCGAAGCTCTGCCCTTGCCCACGGGCCTCCCCCCACCCTGGGCTGGGCCCACACTCACAGGCAGGAAGTCGGAGGCCTTCAGGCCAATGGGCTCGTTCCGGGTGGCAGGGATGATGGCAGGCTCAGCCTTGGGCGCGGGGGTGGAAGTGACGACCTGGGACCAGGGTGGGACCTCGAGCTGGAGGGATCGGAGGCTCAGCGGACAGCCAGCCTGAGGGCTCCCTCTCTGCCCCCCAGATGGGAGGCCCCTCACCCTGGTTCAGGGCTCCAGCCCCTCTGAGTCTCACACACGCCCTCTACCCACACATACGTTTGGCACCGGGAACTGCGTGTCCATGGCTGGGCTGGGCTTTGCTGCCTCCTTGGCTGTGGCCACATCTGGAGGCAGAAGGAAAAGATTTCTGGTCAGGAAGAAGGCAGGGTGGGACTCTGGACCCCATCTGTAACCTAGGGGGACAGGGCAGGAGCCAGCGGGCAGCGGGGAGGAAGACGTCAGCAGTGTGGGTCCTGGGGAGGCCTAAGGGCAGGGGCTGGGCTGTCCCCGACTTTCTACCTACCCAATCCCAGGCTTGGCAGAAAGCAGGCATCTAGCCCTGTGAGTCGATGGGACCAGGGAGCTCCAGGGTGGGGCGATCTGCCAGCTCACTAGGAATGTGTGTGCCGGGGGCGCTGGTGGTGAGGGGCTGAGAGCCACAAGGCCCCCATCTACAGCGGGCCCAGTCTGTCCCTCCACAGCACATGTCCAGTTTCTGGACTCATCTGTGGGCTTGAGAGGAGCACCTGCCTGCCCTGTTCACTCCAACCACCAGGGACGAGCCTGGGGCTTGGCAGATAGTAGGTGCTCCTGAGTGGGCGGCAGAGGCTGAATCGGTGCCACAGGGGAGGGCAAGGGCTCGGAGGGGAGAGGACTGAGGAGCTGGGAGCCCAGCTCTGCCCCACCCCGACTCACCATCCTCTGGGGGTGCTGGGAAGGGCTCGCTTCTTCGAGGTGGTGTCCGACCTGTAGAGGGGAGAGGGGTTGGGGACTCGTGTCAGCTGCCCAGGGTTCCTGTCTGCGTCCCCAGGGCCGTCAGGACTTGGGGGATGGAAGGTGGTTTCCTGGCATGCAGCTGCACACCTGCGACCCTGTCCCGGCCCACAAACCCCCAGTCCCGCCCCTTCCCGCCCATTCGCCCCTGTGGTGGGCAGGGCACTGAGTGGCTGCCAGGGCTCTGCCCGGGCCTAGAGTTCCTGGGGAGAGAGCTGGCCCGGTGTGTGTGGGTTAGGAACTAAGGGAGCTGCATGGATGCCGTCCCCAGAAAGGATCATCTGCATCATTTCACAGGTGGGGTGCCAGGGTTCACGGGGGGGGGGGGGGGGGGGGGAGCCGGGCCTCACTGATGCTGTTCTTGGGCTGGAAGATCTCGTTGTAGTCCTCCGCGTTCTGAATCTCCGCACGAGACTCCCGCTCGTCCCGGTCGTCCTCGCTGCTGGGGCTGCGGCGCTCGCTCTCAGAGTTCTGCTTCACCCTGCGGGCGGCACGAGGAGGACGGACGGGCCAGTGAGGCCAGGCTGGGTCCCCCAAAGCTTTCCCAGGGTCAGACCCGTGTCCTGTGCCCCGCGAGCCCCGAGCCCACCTCTGAGGCTTGCTGCAGGTTGTGCTGGGCCGCTCGTAGATGCGCCGCAGGGGGGCGGTGGGGAGGGGCGGCTGCTGCGTCAGGAGCCGGCTGTCCTGCACGGGGTCCTGGGCCACCGTGCCTGTCCTGGTGACCCGGGTCAGGTCCACCACGTAAGAGGAGACGTTGCTCTGGGCGAAGGCCACGCCTATCTGCAGGAAGCGGCAGAGCAGCGGCTAGGGGATGGGTGGCCAGGATCCCAGCAGGGCCAGTGGGAGTGGGTCCTGCTGGGCTTGTGGGAGCAGCTGGGCAGACGGAGGGAGGGCGGGTGCGGGCGGCGGCCTCACCAGCTGGTTGTTGCAGATGGCCAGGTCGGCCACCTTGCCCCAGTTGACGAGGACCACGTCAAAGCAGCGCTCGGGCTCCCAGCCGTAGACGCGCAACGAGTCCTGGCAGCCGCTGTACAGGCAGCAGCCGTCGGGGTTGAAGAGGATGCTCCTGGGCAGGCGAGAGAGGTCCATGGGTCCCAGGAACCCGGGGAGGCTGCGGGGAGCCCGGGACAGGAGGGAGCAGAAGCCGAGAGGGAAAGCCCACCCGCATCCACACCTCATTCCCGGGCAGGACTGCCCACCGCCCAGTGGCCTGTGTACCTGACAGGCCCCGGCTCCCCTTCGATGCAGCTCACCACCTGGAATTTCTCCAGGTCCCAGAAGCGGATGGTCCTGCAAAGGCAGCCAGGCTGTGCTGGGAAGCCAGAGCCCTGGCTCCACACAGGACCTTCTCTCCCCCTATTACCCGCCCCCCCGCCCCCCGCACCCCTCAGGGCCAATAAGAGCAATGCCTTGGGCCAGGGCTGGCCCTGGACAGGCAGGGGGAGGGGACACAGTGGGAGGCCAACATGGGCCTTAGACTGGACATGCCCTTGAAAGCCCAGGACACAGGCTGGGAACCAAAGTCCCATCTTGGGCTGGCAGTTGCTCAGCCTACAGAGGCCCATCAGGCATATGACACCCTGGGACAGAGACAGATGGGGACAGATATACATACACTCAGGCAGAGATGTGAGGAGCGGCAGTCACAGGCGACGGGCCCTGCTTCTCCTTCTCACCTGTCAGAGCTGCCGGAAGCCAGGAGGTACTCGTTGGGGTGAAACTCCACCACGTTGACGGGCCCCGTGTGGCCAGGGAACTCGGACATCATCTTGCCGGCAGTCAGATCCCAGAGCTAGGGCAGGGCGGGTGGAGGTCAGGACCAGGCCGGGCACCGCAGCCGCCCGCTCTCCCTCCGGTCCAGCCCAAGCTCTGTCCACACACCACCTTCCCATCCGCACAGCTTGGGACAGCAACCCCAAGGAGGGCGATGGGGACCAGCCTGAGTGTGACCAGTAGCCGCCAGGCCCCAGCCCTGGGCCCGGGTCCGGCCGGGAGCTACCTTCACTGTGTGGTCATCTGCAGCCGATGCCAACCACTTCCCGTCGGGGCTGAACCGGAGACACCGCACGGCCTGGCTGTGCCCCTGAGGAGGACAGAGCACCGGGCTCACCCTCGGGGCCTGGCCCAGGACCCTCCCTCCCCACCACCCCACTCCACCCCGGCCTTCGACAAGCAGTGCGTCCTGGGGTGCAGGCAATGAGGCGAAGACATGTAGGAGACGCCACAGAGGGACACTTCCCAGGGGGACCGTGGACTCCCAGGCCTGCAGGGGCTCCAGGAAACCAAGACTGCATGGTCAGTCTTATGCTGCTTTTTAGAGTTAAGTGCCCTCTCTTCATGTCAAAGGGTCTAAAAACCTCTAAAAATAAAATAATAAAATAAAAATCTCTAAAAATAATTCTGTTAAACTTAGTGCTTCCAAACCCCTATGAACAGGCATCCCTCCCATGACCACACCGGCTACCTGCCTGTAAAACCAGGCACGGAGCACAGTGGTTTGGTGAGCAGGGTTCTGGGGGATTCGTGGAGAACTGGCGGTCCAGGTGGACCACGCACAGCACCCCGCTCTGCTCGATTCACGTTTCTCACGCTCTCCCCCATGTTGGACGGCAATGCCCTCCAGCCCCTGCCAGTGGGCACCACATGCTCCATGCCTGCATAGAGCTGTGAAATGACCACAGAGGGGCCTTCCTTACCCTGTACCGGAAGACACAGCCTTTCCTCCTGATGTCCCAGAGCTGCGGGGAGAGGAGCAGAGGGGCAGTCAGCACAGGTACAACCAAGGCTGGGCTTAGGGTAGGGGGCCTAAAGCCTGGGCCGGAGGCCAGGGTGTGGCTGTGAACAGAGAAGGGACCTGGGTGCCTCCAAGTCATTACACCCCAAAATGACAGAGGTCTGGAAACTGCTCACTAAAGCTGGGAATTCCGCTTGGCCGGCGTGACTCTGATTGAGCATTGACCTATGAACCAGGAGATCATGGTTCAATTCCCAGGTGGGGCACATGCCTGGGTTGTGTGCTTAATCCCAAGTAGGGGGCATGCAGGAGGCAGCTGATCAATGATTCTCATCAGTTTTTCTCTCTCTCTCCCTCTCCCTTCCTCTCTGAAATCAATAAAAACATTTTTTTAAAAAAAATAAATGAAACTGGGAATTCCAAGCAGAAATGTCACACCTCCCTTCTCTAGGAGGGTGTGAACGTTGCCGCACAGAGAAGACACCCCCACAAGGAGCTGAAAACCCACCCCTCAGGCAGGACATGCCGTCCCGCTGCCAGCCAGCGGAGACACAGGGCTGAGGGGCATCTCACCTTGATGTTGGTGTCCTGGGAACCCGAGGCCACAAACTCGCCATAGGGGTGGAAATCCAGGCTGCAGATGTTGGCCTTGTGTCCCACGAGTGTGCGAAGAACTAACAAGAGAAGCAGAGACGCTGGCTTGAGAGCAAACAAGACGGCTAGTGCAGAAAGGCTGTTGTGCTTGTGTGGGGGCTTTAATACTGAAGAATAACACGGATTTTAAAAATTGGGGTGAAAATCAGCCAGGGTCCTACCACCCTAACAGCTAATTTCCCTATTTTCCTCTGATACTACCTGAACCTCCGGGAAATGCATCGCAGCCCCCAGCTTTTGCTCTGGGCTTATCCCAGTGTGTTTTTGAGAGCAAAGGGGGGAGGGAGATATCAGGCAAAGGGCAGTGGTGGGCAAAGCACCTCCCCCCCCCCCAAGTAGGGCGAGTGGAGGGTGCGCCAGGTGTAGCCCTGGAGGGAGGTGGCTGTGAGGACAGGCTGTGAGGACTGAGAGGACACGGGGGACATGCTGGCCTCAGAACCTCAGGGGTGGGGGGGCAGATCTCCTGTTTCCTCAGGAAACCATGACTCCCACCTTTCAAGGTTCTGTAGGCAGCTCCATAGCCCAACTCAGCCCACAGGCAAACCGTGTTTGTCTCTGGTACAAATCAAATTTGTCTCCTCGTTCTGGCCTCGTGTGTCTTGCTTTCTAAAAGATTTATAATTTACTGTCTGCATGAAACTGATCCCCCGTGAGAGCTGGGGCAGACAGGGACAGGGGCCCAGCCATCCTGAGGTGTGAGCCAAGGTGAAGCGGGTGCTGGGAGGTAGCGAGCTCTCTTCAAGGTGGTCACATGCCACCGGGGCTCAGCACCGCGTTTCTGGTCAAGGCGGCCTCGGGCACACGCTGCCCGGTCCAGGGCCTGGAGGGGGGCAGACTGCTGGCTCCTGCTTCAGCCCACGGGCTCTGCATCCCACAGCAAGGTTTCTGAAATCCTGCCCCGCCCCGAGAGGATGTGGCGCGCCCCGCCCTGCGTGGGCCGGCTTCGTGGGATCCCCGCTGACCCACCCTCGCCCTCTGGCTGTGCCATGGAAAGCAGGCAGGACCACATTCTTCCGGCGTGACTTCTGCCCTCGCTCTTCTGTCCCAGGAGGAAAGGCCGGGTCACAGGAGCTGCAGAGGAGGGCTCTGGGGTGTGTACCCCATGCGGGAACCTCCCAGCCAAGCAGCTGCTCATCCTTCCCGAAACCCTCCAGTGATGGGCTGCCTTCAGAGCAACCGACGTGAACCCCTTCTGTGGCCTGTCACTGCCACGCCACGATGGGCCCGAGGTCTCAGCTCTTCCTGCTGTGGCTGCTGAGGGCAAGCCGCTCCCCCTTCGGAGAAACTCCCCAAACTGAGGCACCAGATGACAGTGGAGAGCGCGGGGATGGGAGCTCTGACTTCAGGATTCCAGTCCCAGCCTCCGCCACCCCCAGCCAGAGGGTCCTCACGGAGGCTCCGTGTGCCCATCTGACAAATAAGGGGGCCTCCCAGCCTGGCTCTGCGTCAGAGTCCCCTGGTGGCTCACTGAAAGCCAGGTCCTGGGCCTACCCCACTTCTGAGCCATGTTCGCTGGGAGTGGGGTCTGGGCCATGTGTTTGTAACGAGCCTGCGAGCAGCCATTGTGGGGACTCCACGCCCAGGAATTCCAGACAGAGGTCTTCAGTTTCTTTCCACTCCGTGCCCACCTTGGGGAGCGCTCACGCTTCCCTTACACGTGAAGTGGCTGTGTCTGAGAATGCACAGCGCCCCGTCTTCCCTTTGTCCCCTGCTCCCCAGCGCACGGTGAATGGCGGGTGCCGTCCGCTGGGATTCGGGTCCAGGCAGAGGCTTCCAGGTGGAGAACTGCCTTCCACCGAGCCTTTCTGCTGTCTCTGCTGGTTCCACCCTGGCCCCTTGGGTCCAGCGATGCCCCAGCACAGATGCTGTGGGTCCCGCGTGTGGCCAGGCAGTGGGAGCATTCTGAGACGCTAAGCATGCAGCCCACACCAGGGGGGCCAGCAGCACCCATGAGGCCTGGGGCACCATCTTCCTGTAGAGCCACCTACACAAGACCACTGCCCTTGGCAGAATGACCCTGGCCGCTGAGTGTGTGTGGCTGACAGCCACCGTCCTGCAGCAGAGGCACAGCACGCATCACTGGAGGAGCCCGGAGACCTGCAAGTCTCAGCCGGGCATGGGGGGACGGCGGGGGGGGGGGGGGGGGGGGCCTCAATTCTGGGAAAAGCAGCCTTGGCAACCCCACGCCACTGTTTCCTCTCCCCTCCAGCGGTGGCCCCCACCCGCACGCTGAAGTCCAGACCAGCGGCGAGCAGCGAACCGTGAGCCCACGGGCTGTCCTTGGGCCTCTCAGGGTTGGCCGGCACAGTTTTCTGTGCTAACATATGCAGTGCTTTCAGGAAGAAACTACAGCATAACCATGTTGTTTAGAAAGATGGAGGGACTGAGCAAAACACCAGGTTAGAGGGCAGAGGCTGAGGCCTCTGAGAAGGGGAAGGAGTGGGAAAGGCTTCCTCTTTTCATTGTGAATGTCTGTACAACCACCGGTACCTGCCTCCTTACACTCTGACTCCTATAAAGGCGAGAACTAAACTACAACAAACAGCGCAGGAACCAGAGGGCTGGCCGCCCAGCCCATCCTGCAGGCGGCAGTGAGCCGACGCTGAGGGGGGGCTGCCCTGTACGGCCACCCGCTCCCCAGTGTGCCCCACACGCCACCTCGCTCCTGTGTGGCCCCTGGTGGCACCTGATGTCCTGCCAGGTTCTGAATCCACAAAGATACCCACACACCCATCCACACAGCTGTCCACTCAGACATTTACCAGGCGCCTCCTTGGTGCCAGCATTCAGAGATGGGGGCGGGCGGGGTCACCACTCTGGCCAGTGTCCCAGGACGGAAGCACCCCACCTAGTCAGGACGGGCTTCCCGGAGGAAGCGACGGGTCAGGAGCCCGAGACTGCAGGGTGCAGTGGGCAGGGGGCATTGGGGAAGGGGCATTGAGCGCAGACACCTACTTTTGGCAGCTTCCAGGTCCCAGACGCGGATGGAGCCCGACTGGGAGCCGGCCACAATGAGCTCCTCGGGGGTGTTGAGGCGGACACTCTCCACTGGGGACGTGTGACCCGTCAGGCTCTGTGGAGAGAGGGTGGCAGCTTCAGTGCACTTCGTGGACAGACCTCCAGCTGCTGCCCCAAATTATGGGTCCCCAGGAAGTGTGTCAGCGAGAAGTGGCCCAAGAGACGGACGGCTGAGCAGCCGCTTCTCCGGCCTCAGCTCGCAGGGCTAAATGTGGGCCGGACCCCGTCACACTCCAACCCCCGCCACTGCTCACTGTGCTCCTGACAGACGCCACCTGCAGAAATGGCCCTGGGCCCCTTGGGGGGGCAGCTGACCCTTTAGCCTGAGTCCAAACCACGGCCCACGGGCTCTGTGCCATCTCACGCTCTGCTGGCCACGCCCCTCAGGAGGGGAACCATGGCAGAAGTGAGGCGGGCTCTCAGCGGCACCCCTCTCTCCCCCCGAAATGCCTGGGTCCCCGGGCGCTGTCCCCGCTGGAGGACCCAGCCACACTCCCAGGAGGGGGCTCTCAGAACCTGCAGCTTGGGAGTGACTTTGCTGACAAACAGAGTCTCCCCCAACTCAGAGCTGGGGAGCTGGGCCAGGCTGAGCCAGGAGGGAGAGGAGGAAAGTGCCGGAGTTTCCAGCTTTCTGGAGAGGCCGGATCTGGAACCCATGGTGCCTGTCACTCCCACCCAGCACTGCCCCCCCCAAGGCATCATAGTGACACCATCAGTGTTTGCCGAGACCCTTCCCCCTGGGGGTTGGGGACAGTAGGGATAACTGCTCCTCAGTGGAACCTCCCCAAGGCCAGACGGCTACAAGCAGCTGGTCCGACTCTCAAATGTCACCGGCAGAGTATCCCTGGGTACGCACTCCACGGAGGACAACTGGGCACGTCCACCCACACTGAGAAACGCCCATTCCCGCACACGCGGGACACGTGTACAACACACCCAAGGTCACTCACTGCAGCGAATCTCTTGGACCAAAGGCCGGAAACAATACAAATACCCGTCACCGGACACTGTCATCATGGTCACCCATGCAATGGATGCTATTCATTCAGCATGAAAACGAACGGGGCAACCGCAGCCTATGGTCCAGACTAACCTCCATGACACACACAGGTGGAAAGAGATGGAGACAGTGTGTACAGTGTGAAGCCACTGGTTAAAGCGGGGAGGGAAGCAGACATGAACATCCGCTCCTGAATGTAGGAAGTCCTTCTGGAAGGATGGAAGGACAGGAAGCAGGAGCGAGGCTGCCTCCAGGGAGGGAGGAGGGGGTAGGGGAAGGAAGATGTTTCACTGTTGACCGAGTATCATCTGGATGTTGAACATGAGGTCACACACTCCAAAATGCACAGAAATAGGTCACAGTGAACTGCCGCCGAGGGAGCCGCAAGAGCACAGACCTGAGGTGAGAAAGAACTTGGCAAATTTGAGGCCCTGCAAGGCCTGGTCTGTGGAGAGTGTGGGGGAAGGAGGGAGCTCGGCTGAGGCCCATGGGGGCCTGTGGCTGCACCAGGTGTGAGGAGGTAAGTCTCGACCCCAAACTGTCCCGTGCTTCTCTGAGGATGAGCGCCTGGGCTCACTTCATGTCATTTTTGGTCAGTCTTTGCTGAGTTTTCTCAAACTGTGTACGTTTCTTTGTCATTCAGGGGCAGGGCACATTTAAACTTAAAAACAAAGGGAAACAAAACAAACGATTTCAATTCTGTTCTGAACTCAATTGCCATCGTCTGGACCTCTGGCTGTGGTCTGGGTCAGATCTCGGTTCTCTGATGAATCTCCAAGTCAATGAGCTGATTAAGTCTCTACTAATAAGTACCACCTCCTGTTTATTCTTTATCCTGACTTGGCCAAGAGTCAAGAGTGCGATACCACCCCGTGCTGGGGGGCTGTGTGGGGAGAGAGCGAGGCCCGTGCTCCTGGTGGGAATGTGAATGGATTTCTGGAGGGCAATTTGACAACAGGTCTTGAAAGCCTTGTGAAAAGTGCACACCCTCAGATTTAATGCAACCATCACAGATCTGCTCACAGATTCAGCAGGTGGGGATGTTTACCACGTGGCTGAGCAGAGCCGAAAGGCTGCAAGTGACCTCCATGCTGGGAAAAGGGCAGGGCCACGCCAATGCCAGCTCACTCCATGGCACCCCACAAAGCCATTACAAATCATGCCATTAAAGGAGATTTTCTGACACAAGAAAATGCTTACATATTGTATTTTTTAAAAACCAGGCCACAGGACAGTGAGAGAGCATTCTAGAAATCTACTGCTATTTATTTCTGTGTGTGCACATGTGTGTATGTTGGCATGTGTATGTGACATAAATGCACAAGTCTGCACATGTGTGCATGTGCATGTCTGTGTATATCAGCACCCACAAGGACACAGACCAAAAGCCGACTGCAGTGGTCCTGGATAACGGGACTATGTATCTTTCATTTTCATATTTTTCCTTCTTCATGGTTTCCTGTTTTGGAACACTTTTCAGCACTGAATGTAGCTGTGCAGCCAGGGGAGTCTGATAAAGAACCAGCTCTCTGCCCACTCCAGGCAGGCGCCTGAGATCCTTCAGTGGAACGAGGTGGGAATGTGTCAGTCACCCCACACACAGCTGCCGGTGGGTGGACGGGCCCTGGGCAGGGCGGGGCAGGCTCCACTCCTTTAGCCTCACGCAGGCTCCCAGGCGTGCTGTCCACAGCCAGGTGACACCCCATTCCCGAGGACGGGCCACTGTCGCTGCCATCTGGGGTTGCCCTGGGCCTTCCTGAGCCGACAGCTGGGGGAGGCATGGATGCTGTGCTGTGTCCCCACCCTCGGGACGGGCACCCAGAGGACATGTTGCCTCACCCACCACTACCCCATCCTGCCCACAGTCCCCTCCCGCCCCTTGCCCCTGCCCCCCTGGCCGGTGAGGCTCACCATGATGCAGTTGGGCTTGTTGATGGACCACAGGTTGACACGGCAGTCATCCCCTCCTGTCGCCAGCAGCCGCCCGGAGCCTTTGCCCAGCACCAGTGAGGACACATTGCTGGCGTGGGCGACGATTTCCTCTACACAGGAAAGGGCAGAGGGGAAGACAGTCAGGCCACAGCCAGGGGGCTTGATGGGCCACGTGGAGGAGGGGAGGGCCTGGCCCTTCTCGGCCATCGGCTCTGGCACCAGAAGCCCCTCTCGAGGGCTCTACCCCTTTGGCTCCCCTTTGGTGCCCAGACACCCCCTCTGACACCTGCTGACAAGGTAGGGCCTGGGCCTGAGACAGAAATGACTGTTTCTCAACTTCACTGACACCTGTCTCACCCTTAGGCCTCGTGATTTTCTTCCCCTTTCTGCACATTAACTGGTAATATTACTGACTGACTCTGCTCGATTTTTCATCTGGTAAGTGGAGTTAATAATAACACTGCCAGAACGTTGACCTATGAACCAGGAGGTCACAGTTCAGTTCCCGGTCAGGGCACATGCCCGGGTTGCGGGTTTCATCCCCAGTAGGGAACGTGCAGGAGGCAGCCGATCATTGATTCTCTATCATCATTGATATTTCTTTTTCTCTCCCCCTTCGTCTCTAAAATCAATAAAAATATTTTTTAAATAAAAAAATAACAACAGTGCCTGGCTCATTGAGTTGCTGAGGATTCAGTGGGAAGGTGCCTGTGAGCTGCTGGGTAGGGAGTGAGTGCTCTGTGGTTGTTAGGCAGGCTAAGGACTAGGCAACACGAAGACAGTGAGCACTGGGGCCCCAGGTGGGCAGAGGTGGGTGGGCTGGGTGAGGAGGGGGGGCAAGAGGCAGCCGACTGAGAGGTCTGGGTGTGAGGGCTGACCAGACAGAGGGACGTAGGTCACCGTGGGCAGCCACAAGGGCCCCTGGCCTGGACGGCTGGGGCAGCAGTGGGGGCAGCAGACGACAGCCCCAGGGGCATCAATGCTCCAAAGGAAACAGAACACAGGCAAGGAACCAAGAGGCCGCCCAGGTCTCCCAGCTCATCCCTGAGTGAGTTCCTCCTGGGAGGGAGGAGTAGACAAGACAGGTCTCCCCACTCAGAGGGAAAACCCTACCATGCCGACGCCCTGAGGTAACGAGGAGGCCTCAGTCAGCTAAAGTGCTGTGCGCGGAAACTCAGATGCCTGAGCACGTCACCTCCCACCTGAACACCGGATGGCCAGGCCTTGCCTTTCAGATAAAGCAAAGCGTCAGAAGGGCTGGGATCCTCCCCAGCCTCTGTGGCACCACATTCTCCCCAAGGCTGTGCTGCCGCCGGGGCCTCCTCTGAGTTCTGCCCTGAGCTCCTGCCTCAGGGCCTTTGCACACACAGTTTAGGCAGCCTACCATACTCCCCTACCCCATTCTCCATCACCAGGTAACCGCTTCAAAGCATAGCCCAGCTGAGAATTCAGGGAGATGGAGGGGCGTGCTCCCAGGCTCTGGACCCCATTTCACAGGGACCTTTGTCTCTTTTGCCCCCGACCGCCTCCCTCGTGCCTGGTTCTATGCTCAGGAAAGACCAGCTGCTGAAGGGGTAGGTACATAACCCTAATAAACAGAAAGCCACGCTGTCCAAAGTGTACCTTCCTTGGGAGCCGGTAACAGGATTCTCCCAGAACTCTCCGGCTTAGAGGAACGATTTGAAAATGGTCCAAACCTCTCATTTTACAAACGCGGACACTGAGGCCCAGCAAAGAGCTTCGCCCAAGTTCCCGCAGTTGAAAAGTGAAGGCCTTGCCCAGCTCCTGAAAACAGCCCAGGGACAGTTCACAGCACAGGGTACCAGTCTGGGCACCAGGTTTATACCCACCAGGCACTACAGACGGGGAATGACCCACAGAGGCACCGGCGAGGAGGGCCGCGGTCCTCACATGGGATCCTCGAGATCCTTCCAGGGGGTCCAAGAGAACAAAACTGTTTTCTACTAACATGGTATCTGACTTTGACGCCTTTGTTTGCTCCTAAGAACATAGTTTTCCAGAAGATGCTCGATGTGATGACATCACCATCAAGGGCATGTTGCCCTGTGTGTTCTTGTTTGGAAACGTCTCGGTGTTGCCGACGTGGTGAATAATGAGCTCCCATGGACAAGAACCCTTTGGGGTCCCCAGTAATTGGAGTACAAAGAGGCCCTCGGATCAGGGTCTGGCGCTGCCACAGGCAGTAATGGCGGCGGTGGGTCGTGCTCACGCTCAGTCGCATCGCAGAGCCCGGTCAGCGTCCCTCTGCCGACCCTCTCTCCCTGGCCCCCCGTCCCAGGATGCCCTCAGCTGATGGCGGAAATCTGACTAGTGAGATGCCTGAAAGCGTCAGGAACATCTTTCAGGACTCTCGCCGCCTCCGCCTGTCAGCCTCCGTGGAAACCCTGCACTAAGTGCTGGATTATACGTGTTTTCTCACTTGAGTCTCACAGCAACGTAGACGTGACCATCTTGCCGTGCAGACAGGAAACGAAGCCGGGGAGGTGAAGTCCCCCGGCCAGTGTGACCCGCTGAGTGCCAAGGTCAGGATTGGCATCTTGCTCTTACTGCAAGGCCCGGGGGGTCTCCCCTTGTGCCAAGAATAGAAGACAAAGCTGGGGGTTCAGGCTCCCCCGCCACCCCCCAGCAACTAACAGCTCACAGGATACGGGGGGGGGGGGGGGGGACAGGAGAGCCACTCACGCAATTTCCAGGCCGTCTTGGTGACCACCGGGGTGGCCATCCTCCGGCTGTCTGGCACTCGAAGCTCCACCCACGAAACAGACGGCCTTCTTCCAGGGGTGGGGGTGGATCCCCCCCAGATCCGCCAATCAAGTCGGCAGGGAGTCCCCACACATCCAGGCAGAGGGAATGCCTTTCTCGGGGATCAACTCTTCGCTTTAAATCATCCACGGCAGCAGCCTGTCCGCGCCCGTCCGGATCCCGGGTCATGGAATGTCAGGCTCGGGCCATCTCAGCTCAACACTGGGCTGGAACGCAAACAGAGGGGATGGCTTTTTAGGAAACACTTAGGAGGGAGCTGGGGGGGGGGGGGGGCGGTGGCGGGGGTGACCCTGATTTGCAGACTGCAGCTCCCTGCATCCCTGAGGCCACTGGATACAGACAGACAGACAGACAGGCACCCACCAAAGCCAGGAGCTGCACTGCAAATTGGGTTTGAGAAGCAGGAGCGGGGGCACCTCAGACAAGGTGACCTGGAACCCAGGGGAAGGGAAGGTCCTCCCAGAGGCCAGGATGATGGGAGGAGCTGGCTGTAGATGAGACAGATTTCTGAGAGTCACTGTGTGGTCTGACCCGATGCAGAGGGGGTGGAGTCAAGGCTAAGCTGGGGGGCCCATGAGAGGCACCCCGGAGACAGGTGCTGAAGTCGTCTCCGGGGAGAATGTCAAACGGGGCCCCGAGGATCCAACCCCCCGAGTTTGTGGCAAAGGAACCAATCCTGGTCCCCCAAATTCCCCAGGACGGTGCTGGGCACGAGCCGGTATGACTCCTCAATCCTAAAAGGCCACCCGAAGGTGCCTCCGACCTGCTTCCTTCCAGCCCTTTCCCCAGGAAACCTCTCCTCCGCACCCCTGCGCCCCTGGGTCCCCCAGCCCTGCCCCTCTCGTCCTCCACCCCTCCTGCCTCCCGCGTCCTCCATTCGCACACATCTTGTCTCCTGAGCTCCCTAACGTGGCCCCTGCCTCGCCAGACCCCCTTTCCTCCGCGTTCCCCTCGGCCACCAGGATCCCCATTCATTCACTCTCCTGCTTCCGGCGTCCCTAGTCACCCCCCAGCCTCCCGCGGACCCCCAGCTCAGCTTCCGGCCTCCCCGGTTCTGCCCTCAGGCCTCCACGCCGGTCCCGCCCCTCCCGAGGCCAAGGCTGGTCCCTCTGCCGCCCCGGGTCCTCCCACTCCTCTCAGCCGGCGGGGAAGGGCGCCAACCTCCCCGCGCCGCAACCCTCTCCGCCGCAGCCCGGCCCGGCCCCGCCTGGCTCGGCCCGGTCCGGGGCCCACCGGCCGTCCCCTCGCCTCCTCGCCCCCCGGCCCACTCCACCTGCAGCGGCGGCTCCCGAGGCCAAGGCTCTGCTTCAGGGGCGACCCCCACTTGCCTCCATCCCCTGCCCTGATTGGCCGCTGCTTGACAACCGACCCTCACAACAAAACCTCCGGCTCAGAGCTCCGCCCTCCCCAACTCTCCCACCAATCAGCTACCGCGGGAGCTCCGCCTCTTTCCAGTTTTGACCAATCGAAGAAGGCACTTCTGCCGCTTTTCCTAAATTCCCGCCCTTTTTTCCTGAATTGGGCTAATCACGAGGAAGAAGGGTTCAAGGGCCACCCCTCGGCCCCTAATGAACCAATGCGGGCTGCCGTTTCCTTGGTCCCGCCTTCGCCTCAAACTTCCCCTTTCAGCCACCTTGCCTACTCGCCCTCGAGCCTCGTTAGCGTTTGAAAAATTTGCGAGACGCCCTCCAATGGCGGCTGCACCAATCGCTTTAGCAACCGTCCCAGATAGACCAATCAGCGTTCACATTATTGGAACACCAACTCCCAGATAGCCAATGGGAAGGGGACATCCGGACCCGAGCGAAGCCGCGGAACTTCCATCTTGGAGTCGGGCAAAGCGGGGCGGTGTACTTAAGTCAGCATTTTGCAGGGGTTCCTGCTCGTTCCCTTTACCTGTGGGCGGATCCGCGGGTCTGAGGACTTTTCTTTCTTCTTTGGCTCGAACACCGGCTCGAATCTCCCACCGGAGACCGGGAGAGAAACTGAGATTTCCTGATTCTGGGTCCGAGTCAGGCGTGGAGCCCGGGATTGCTGCCTCCACGGCCGACGTCTTCAGCGGATGGGATGGCCGCTTCCTTAAAGCGCTGACCGACTGGGAACCCGAGAAACGCCGACCTCATTTGTGATCCGTGGGTGGGGGTGGCCTTAATCTCCACTGCCCTGCACCCTCGCTGCCAGGAAGAGGCAGCGTCCACCCATCACACTGTACTTGGGGACGCTGACTGCAGAGGCTTATGGGCACTGTCGAGAGAGGACCAGATTAGCAGAATAAAACCCGATCAGCACTGCCCACCCTGCATTTCTCAACCTTTTATATGACAACGTCGTGGAGAACACTGGAAAGAATACTATAATGATATACTAGTGTAATATTTCAATCATATGATGACCATATACGTACCGTGTGGATTTCATCACTTGCTAACATTTTGCTGTATTGATTGGCTTTATCCGTGTGTGTGTTTTCTGAACCATTTGCAAGTTGTGGACATCAAGACATTTCACCCTGACACTGAATGCTACTGAGCGTGTAATTCTTAAAAATCAGACCCTTCTCCTGCATAATCATTGTATCAAGAAAACAAACAGTTGTTTTCCAGGGCAGATTTTCATAATCGTCCCAAAAACTATTTTTAATAACATTTTGCCTAATTAGGAAAGCATCAAGATTTGGCACTTGGCTCTTCTAAGCTCATTCGATTTCATCTCCCCCCCCCCCCCCCTTACTTAATGACTTTGATCTTTTGAAGAGATTGGGCCGTTTACCTTGTAGACTGTCCCACATTATAATTTTGCCAGACTTTTCCCTTCTAGCGTCATTTACCTTGTTCCTTGTCCTCTGAATTTCTTGTTAAATGGAAGTCAAAGCATGATTAGATTCATGATCACTGTTTTGAAACACTTTATAATGAAGTATAATACACATACCCCATATACTTTAAGGGTATGAGGTCGGTGAATTTTCACCATCTGAACATACTCAGGTCAAGAAGACTATTACCTGCTCCTCAGAAGTCCCCCTGAGAAATGCAACCATATCATTCACGTGGTTGTCATTTGTTCCTTTCCACTGAGCCCAAGCGGGGTGTCTCAGCCTCAGTATTATTGACATTTTAGGCTACATAATTCTTGAGACCACCTGCGGAGGTATTGCAACAGCTCAGCATTCCCAACGGACAGGACAGGAAGTCAAGGAGGAAGGTGGACAAGGTGGATAGAGGAAGTTGGTCCCGGACTACATACAGATAAAGAAGGGAAGGAGAGAAAGGCTGGTGCTGGAGCTTGTGAAATGAGGTATAAATTGCAAATCACAAGTGTGTTTATTTACAGAAAAATCATGAGAAGCAGGAACAGATGGGGCCGCAGGGAGGTGGAGCGGCAGTGAGGCCAGGCGCCTGATTCCGAGGTCATTAGCTGGTTGCAGGAAACACGGGCTGGGCTGTGGGGGAGGTTTCTCTCTCTGCCAGCTGAGGCTGAAGCCCCAGGAGGGGCATCTAAGGGCCAGAGGTGCAGGAGGGGCATCAAGAATAGACTTTCAGGTGCTCCACCAGGCGTGGGTCCTTGTAGAGCTTTTCCTCCAGAGCCAAGTACTTCAGCGGGGCCAGCTCCTTGTGTCTGAGATCGGAGGGAGGAGCGAGAGGTGGTGGTGGGGTTACAGAGCTGGCGCTCCGGCTTCCTAGTGGGTCCCCTCGGGCTCCCCTGCCCCCCTCACCGGTTGAGCCGCTGTTCCAAGATACGGATGCGGAACATGGCCTGAGAGCAGTAACTCAGGTACAAGTCTTCGTCCTCGGTGGTCAAGGTCACCTGGTTCTCCTGGTACCACTGCTGTTTCTTCTGCAGCTCCTGCGTCTCCTGCGGGCACAGGCACGGAGAGGAGAGTGCAGGAGGGGTGATGCAGGCTGACCCGCACCCAGGTCTTAGGCTGAGACCCCCGGTCACCAGAGAACCCAGGAGGGTTGACTCCGCAATCACCATCCACAGACGTCAGAGGAGCAGAGGCGGGGCCAGAAAATGCCTTGAGTGGGAGCCCCTGGGGTTGTGTTTAGAAGGATATCAAGTCCATGGGGTCAGAGCAGAGTTCAAGACTGGGACAGCCGTGTGGCTCTGGAACAGCTACCTTTTCAGAGCTTCCAATTTTCTGTCTGTCAAACGAAGGCCGTTGTACACACTCACCACCACCACACAGAGCTCCTTGTGAAGATTAAATGAGATAATGCATAGGAACTGCATGGTATACTTTCAACCAATAGAAATGCATCAAGGACTAGAAGTTGTTACAATGCACCATCCGTCCATCCATCCATCCATCCAACCACCCATCCATTCATTTATTTACGCAGCCCTCCATCTACCCATGCATCCATCCTCCTGTTCATCCACTACCCATCCATTCACCCACTATCACCCATCCGTCTGTCTGTCCGTCCGTCCATCCATCCATCCCTTCATCCACCCTTCCACCCAATGAACAAGAGTGAGGGAGGACAAGTTGGTCATCTGGAAACTCCCAGCAATGGGTCCCTCCCACGTCTGTGACGTGGGGGGCAAAGAGCCATGTGCCCGTTTTCAAGATGAGGATGCCAAGGTCCTCTCCTCTACCCGGGCCCCGGCCGTACCCGCTCGAAACGGGCCTGGATAAGGTTGGCCTTGTCGATGAGCCGCTGCTTGAAGTCCATGAGGCACTCGTCCTTGAGGCGAATGGCCTGCCAGCGCGTCAGCTTCTCTCCTGGCGGCAGCTGTGCCAGGAACGGGGCCAGGTAGTCCAGCTGGGCCTCCACCTGCCGCAGGTGCTCCTCATGCATCACGCG